TTTTATAGCCATTAATATTAGTAAATTAAATAATGCTAATAAAAGCCCAAACCAAAATCAAATTAATATTAATGCTAACAAAAGACATTCAATTCAATAGTCAATACTACGAACAAGAATGTATTGAATACCTATTTTTGTTTTGCAATAATTTAAATAAAAATGCATAACCTATTTTATCTTCTCTTTAGCATTTGGTCATGTAATTAATACTCCCTTTTTAATCTACTTACTTTAGCATGACTTAGTACTTTTATTGAATATGAATGTATCACTGGAAGAAGTGCACTCTATAATCACTTTAACATACCTTGTTGTTTATGCAGATAGACTCATCACTCCAGCTATCATGATCAATTGTTGTTGATGAATTAAGATCTTTCCATATACAGGCTAAAAGTGAGGATGTGAGCACGCAATTTTTGATCGAAGGTGTTATAGCACATGCCCGAGTCACATTTTTGCTTACCATCACTTCTACTTCAGCCATTGATTTCTACAAAATGGAGTACTAACAAATTAAAACTGTGCCTCACCAAAAAAAAAAAATGACCACATGAGTAAGTAACAGAAAGTTCGGCAAGTACTTAACAAACACACAGATGATGAGCCGTCTGATATAGGTAGATGACTAGAATATCTGTATATGGTAACGTTTTAACGTGTACACAATGGTATGTCGTGTTTATGCAAATTTTAATTAAGATATTGTTGAAGAGAAACCACATGCTGCGTGCAATTTGTATTTGCCAAACAAAAAATGACAATAATTAATAGCGACATTTGCCCATCTTTGAAATAAGTACTGCAAGTTGATTAGAATTTTGTTATGACTATAGAAACAGAGTAGTAACGTTTTCCTTCATTAGAGTTAATAGAGGAAAGAGAAATTTAGCATTGAACGTGCCATTTGTGGATGAAATTGTGATGTTTGCTCTAATAAACCGTACCAAACTCTATTACTCAAATGTGATTATTAGAGTATTAATTTGTTCATTATTTATTTTTTCGAGTCATATGCATAGATTATACATATATAATACAAAAATTATGTATATATTATACCTTCACCAGCTATTTTTAATTTAAGTGGTTGAGTATGCGGCTATTTGAGTTAATTCTTACTAATTATGCACAAGAAATGTGTTTCCCTGTTTTTTTGGTGTCATCAACGGTGTGTGAGAGAGAGTAAAAACACATACTGAATATCCAGATAAGCCAGCAGGGTCCACAAAGGCAGCAGTGTGGAAGACGCCACGACAACCGTTGAATGCTTCTGATAGGCTTTGCACATCATTTAGACTTGCCATTACTGCCTCTACTGTGTTCATGGACGGTCCCATTTCTCCAGTAATTTCCATCTCTCTTAGCTTTTCCAGATCCTCTGCATTAAACAATCTTAGCATATCAGGAAATATGTCCTCCCCAAACAAATTGCTCCAACTCGATTTAGATAGGTAAATAATTTATTGGTATCCTATGTGTTTGCACATCTGACTTTTCTCGATTAATTAATATATATTATCATCTTATTAGAGTGCTTAATCATTCAAATTTGATAAGAACTAGTGTAAAAACACCAGGGTGAGTAATTCTTTATCATTTAGATTTGAGTTCAATTTTTAAGCATGGACGGTGTAAAGAAATATCTATAATAAACATACTCTATAGAGTCGGCGAGGTCAGCAAAGGACGAACTGATGATATAACTTCCAGAACACGAAATCGAACGTCAATTTAGGCAAATTAAAACGGGATGAAAAAAAAAATACGTGGTACACGATAATTTTAACATATTCAACAGTGAAGATCCAAAGGAACATTAAATCACGCGATTCCAGTAAAAACCATAGGAATGGCAATAGTCATTGATGAAAGCAGCACAACAGATTCCAGTTGGCCAAATTCAAACTGCTGTTGCTATTCTCCAGGAATCAGAAGTTACTTTTTATCTTCTTTTTTTCTTTTACGCAGTACCAAAAGCATGAGGAGGAGGTGAAAACGAGCAAATACTAAAGTCAAATAAAATATTGGCACCTTGGTTTTCGACAATGACTCGTACAGAGTATCCACGGAGTAAGAGTTGGTTTACGATAGCAATACCGAGGAAGGATACGCCACTGGTGACGCACACCTTCTTTTCTTCAAGCTCACGGTTCTGTTCAACTGCAGTGGGCAAGTGCTGTGGATTTTGGAATTCATCGTCGGCGGCCGCTTTTGTCCGGTGCACCGCCGCGTAAGATAGCAACATCCGGCGAAATTCCTCGATCTCTATCCTCTTGCTCTCATCGGGACATACTATTCCCATTTTTTGTAGTACTGAATAGCTATGATTCTGCTTCTTTTAACTGTTTGTAAATTGTGAGACTAGGCGTTTGAGAGTCTATTTGTGCGACAAATTAGAGGATTTTTTTAATTTTTTTCTAATTAAGTGCCAGCATCAATGCACAAAGCACCTTTATTAATGTTCGGCAATATGCCAATACGGCTCGTTTTTAAGTTTGGGCCAATTTTCAGTTACCTGTTATTATAATAACAAGTAAAATTGATTTGATAATTGATATTTTTATACACGTTTAGTTCAAATTAAATAATTGTAAAATTATACAAATAGAAATTCATTTGACTATTGAAAGCTGAAGTTGGAAAAACTCTTTCCTTTTTTAGATATCAAAATGTTCAATATTTTTTCATTTGTATTTTAGAGCTATCATGATTGTTTATAATTTTTAAGATTTCAAATATGTTTAACTAATCAATTAAATTATAATGCTTTAGCTTTTGATTAATTATACTTTTTCGAAAATAACTTTATGCATAAAGGACCATCAAAGATCTTAAGTTGATGGATATGATCTCTCCATATATCTTTAACCACATGTCTCGAATTTGTATTTATTTTTTCAAAATTTATTAAGTATGTACAAATATTAATTTCAAACTCAGTAACTTAAAAAAATTAAAATTTTGAATACATAAATTTGAAATTCTAACTCCACCTCTGCTTAGACTTCCTTCTTGTTTTGCAAAACTCAATAGACTCTCAAATTTCTCAATTTACCTAAACATCCCCTCTAATTCATACACATTAATCTCTCGGACTGTAGTCTCCATCATCACGAGTCACAATCATTAAAAGAGAAAAAAACTTTTTTTTTTTGTGGTCAAATCTTGTCCCCCAATGTTGTATTTGGCACTCTTTCTAGCTATATCCACGTTCCTGGTAAAATTAGTTACCTCATATAGTAAATGTTGATATCTTATTTATTTTAAATAAATATTTTTAAAAAAATTATATTCCATAGCTACATTTTGATTTTTTATAGCCAAATATTTACTTATGATCACTTCCTACTCTTAAGCCATAAAATAAGCTTTGTATTATTTTTCATCCCCTCAAATTTCTCCTATCCCCTACCCCATATCTATTCTCCCCCTTTCTCTCTACTTCCCGATTTCATATCCTCTTTTCTTCTTCTTGTACAATTTCAACAATTAGCAGTGCCTCTATCGAAACCTTTGTCGCAGGTGGTGAAGGCCCCTACAGATTCTGAACATCCCAGCCGACGAGAGAACAAATCCTGACAGATATTCCCAAAATCCAAAAAATGCTCATCCATATTCAAGACTTCACTAATCGATCTTTCATCCAAAAATACACACATACTCCTACACCCACCGGATCTGCAGCGAAAAACAACAAAGTTCTTGTCTTAAACTTGAAGAAGCAGAATTTCTAGGCATCACAAGATTTGACAAACTTTTTTGCCATGTCTTTTTCCTAAAGCCATCCTAAAAATTATGCAACTTGATTCATAGGTGAAACTCTAGGGTTGTTTTTGAACAAAGACGACGGAGTTGGGGGCTGAACAACTTGAATTTTCTATTAATATATTTCAATATATCTTGTTGTATTTCATTGTATTCATTGTTTTTTTCCCATTGTATTTCAATATATCTCGTTGTATTCTATGTATTTTATTGTATTCATTGTCTTTTTTTCATTATATTTCAATGTATCTATTCTATGTATTTCATTGTAATCACTGTCTCGCTATATTCCATGAATGTATTCATACATTTTTTTTAATTAATATAATTTATGTATTCAGATATATTATATAACTTCTCTGAAAATTGCTATATTTTTGGTGTGTTTTTCGGTTGAGAATTTTTTTTATAACTGGAAATGCAAATTTTGTGTGTTATAATTGAGTTTGTTGAGTTATATTAGGAGTCTATTATGTTAATTGATTCACTTTCCGTTTAAAAACAGTGTAATCCCCTATTTCACGACGTGAATACAGTCGAATACAATAATCTGTCCAGCTGTAATCCCATGTTTCACGCCATGAATATAGTCGAATACACTCGAATACAAAAATCTGTCTAGCTGTAATCTCATGTTTCACGCCTAGAAATACTACTGTATTCATGAATACAGTAGCTTAAATACATCGAATACACTCTAAAAATCTGAAAATATAGCTATAGGAAGTAATATAGTATACGATAGCTACAACAATCTAATAACCATTAAAACATAGTGGTTTTTGAAAGTTTCTCTTTCTCGTATCCTCATTTTCTTTTCCTTTTTTTTATCATTCACTATGTAGCGTTTTCAAGGTGGGAGTTTGGTCAAAATGACGAAAATATTTTTGACACGTATCAACTTTGACCAATATGGTAAGAATGTCTTAAAAAAATTAATTTCAAATTAATAGAATGTTGTAAGAATTTGTTACAATTAGAATGGAGGCATGAGTGATTGACTTTTCAACAGAATAACGAACGCTTTCTCCAACGAACATTCACACTAGAAATGTAGTTGATGCCAATAAATAGAGAGAGGGGGATTGTCTAGTTTTAGTAACTATTGGATTTGAATTTAATTTTAATACATATTAAATAAAATTTTAACATAAATATAAAATTTGGACTAAAATTATTATGTTCGGCCAAATCGATACTTAATTCTAGCTTCACCCTGCAAATTGTGAACATCATATAATAAATGATGAGAGTAACAAAAGGTAATAGATGAGGTTCTAACTTAGTCACTTGTAATGACATTCAACAACCAGGTGGTTGATCTTCTGTTCTAATGCATTGACAAGTAGATATTTGCACGGAAAAAGAACAATAACACAAGATGATGTCGAATTAATGGGATACGACAGATAAGGAATAATTAATTTTAAAATTAAATTTAAGATGAATTTATTTATATTTGATTGGGATAAAATTATGGCATAACTAACCCGAGATTATAATTATTCCAAGGATTGTAGTATTTTTTTTTATTCCTATGAGAGGGAGAATAACTGACCTCGAAATAATCAATTATGAGATAACTTATTTCCCAAACCAAACGACCAAGAAAGTATTTTGATATTGCTTACAAAAAAGTGCTGATAAATTTTTGAACAGTCTTAAATTGCCACAGGATAAACTACTAATAATTGATGAAACTGTTACAAGTTCAAAGAAAAAGAAATAAAAGCCAAGACTAAGCTACTTGTTATTTTAAGCATTTTCATGAATTTAATTTTTATTTCGCTCTTGATCAACTACTTTTCTTTTTATATATTCTTTAACAATTTAGAATTTTTTTAATTTAGAAGTTTAAGATGGTTCTTATATTCACACAAACAAATTTATGGCGTATGCCGTCATTAGTAATTAGAGGCGAACCTATGTGTTATATTGAGGGGTCACCGGACCCCCTAAACTTCAACAAAAATCTTGTATATGTATACCTTAAAAATGATTAAATAAAATCACTTGGCACCCCAAACGCTAAAGCTTTTAGGGGGCACTGATTGAACAAAATATAATATTGTGTTCCCGTCACGTTAAAATCCCGAGTCCGCCTCGAATAGTAACATAAACTAACAAAATGGTGGTCTTTGTGAAAACATATTCAACTAAATGGATGGCCTATAAATTTTTAATTAAAATTAGAAAAGTCGATCAGTATATTTTAACCATAAAAGGAAAGAAATTAATAGGAGAAACTTATCGAGGCCATCTCAAACCTTACCCCATTTCTCCATAATGAGGGTAATTTTTAGGGTAATGAAGCTTCAACTCTCTCCCGTTTTTACCTCCAAAATGGGGTATGAATAGTGTTCCCTCAAATATGGGGGTACACTGTTCATCTCCCCCATCACTATTCATGCTTTGCTTATTATTATTTTATTATTTAATTCTTTTAATTTATTTCTTTATATATACCTAATTATGCTTATGTAATATCTTTATAATATTAATTTTACATCTTAACTTTGGCGTATAATTATGATAAATTAACTTCGTGCATTTATTATTTTTATGTAAAATTGTAAGTTACTTTTATTATATGTCATAACTGTACAAAAAATATATAATCATCTCAAAAAATAAATGTTGCAAATACAAGTATTAGATGTTGCTAAAATTAAAAGGTGCGAATATAAAATATTAGATGTTGCTAAAATTGAAAATTGAAAATTGAAAATTGAAAATACATTAAAATTGGAAATACATGAAAATCGAAAATACATTAAATTAAACTGCATAAAAATTGAAACTACGGTAAATAGCATAATAACTTAGTAGGGAGATATGTCATTTCTAGATACACCAAAATCATTATAGTATTGAGTGAAATGTTCAAGCAAGCAATTCAGATGAATAATTATGTGTTGCAATGTTTGCAAGAAAATCGAAATAATGATCCTATCAGAGCTGGCTCCGCTCCAGGTCATTTGATAATCAATCGAGATCGTGAAGGTGCTGATAATAATTTATTTCTCGATTATTTTTCAGATAATCCCTGCTTTAATGGTCGCCAGTTTCATCGTAGATATCGGATGTCCCGCAATGATTTTACTTTTATTTGAATTATTAGTTAATCTATCATAATTGGTTACAAATTATATTTTTTAAATTTTTATAGAATTGTTTTAATGGAAATTACAAATTAATGAAAATAAAAGATGGAATTTGTTTAATGGAAATTAAAAAATAAAATTGAAATCAAAGATAATAATATAATATAGAAGAGAGAGAAGAATATAAAAAAGAATATTCTCTTTTTGGGAAAAAATAGAAGAATGGTTAGAGTAAGTTGTCTCCAAAATGAGAAAATCTCTATTATGGGGGTCAAAAATAGGGTAAAGGTTGGAGATGCGTTTAACAAAAAATGAGACCACTAGAATCAAATCTAGAACCAAACAAAATATGTTCATATTTAAAAATAAAAACCTGATTGATCCCTATACTTTTTTCAAAGTTATGTCTGCGTGTCAAGAAGAAAATTTGTCATTTTATCTTTTTCTAATTAATATTCACTGGAAGAGATCTAGAAGATAACAAAGACAACTGTTTAGTTAGCTTGGCATGTCAGAAAATAAACATTATTCTTATTTATTTATTTATAAAATGGAACCTTTTAACAC